TTATTCCTTTACTAGAGCAGAGCAAAGATTCACATACTACAATTATCCACTCCACAGCAATGCATCAATCAAATCAAACCACAACCTTAGCGCGAGGCAATGCACGGATGCTCCTATTTTAGCTACACAGCCTTGCGGTTTCGGCTACGATGTATTATTTCACCGCCACTTAGAAATATCCCCAAGGCCGGTGTTAGCACCCATTGGTTGCTATTACTGGTACCGGATAGCTTTCAAAATGGTTAATCGTCTAAAGAAACAACAAAAGTCGAAAGAAGCCTCTAAGAAAATTGCGAATGTGCCAGTAGTCCTCTTTATATCCTCTAATGTTGAAGACAGGGGAAGATCCCCAATGAAGAAGTTGGAGACATTTCATTGCACTCTGGGCGATCGCTTTGGGCGAGATCGTGAGTTCTATTCAACTACCAAAGATGAGGATGGTATGACACCGCTTCATTACGCAGCACGGTTATTGCCAACGGGTTCCATTTCATGGGTGGAACATGAGGAGGAGCGGCAGAAATGGAACTTGCTTCTAAAAGGCTTTAATCAGGATGACCTGAACGTGCAGGATGAAGATGGTCGTACCCCACTCTCTCATGCGGCAGAGGTTGGAAGCGCATGGGTTGTGGATAAGCTGATCAAAACTGGAGCTGATCTCTACCAATGCGACCAAAACGGACGATCGCCCTTATCTTGGGCAGCGCAATCCGGAGAAAGAGAATCGTGGAGATACTGAGTTGGAATGCCGGTGTCTTTGATGACAAGGACAACCGAGGCTGGACGCCCTGTCATTATTTTCTACAACGGGAGCCTGAGTCAGCTGAGGATACGAGTTCAGGATTCTTCCACTTATCTGGGACAGAAGCCATTCCCAAGAGGTCGGACACCTTGCCTGGCGCAAGGTGTTCTCGAGTATTAGCGTGTCGACGCGAGTGGCAGCCGACTATATCAGCACGTCCTTGTTATCTACGCCTACTGCTTGTGGCCTCACTTTGCTGTCGCGTGCTGTCCAGCTTGATAGAATTCTGATCGTCGCAATACTCCTCACCATCGAGGATATCGACATAGGCGTGCCAGACGGGGATGGTAAAACGCCACTCTGGAGAGCGATAGAAGCCGGAAATCGCGAAATCACCGAGTTACTATGGAATTATGATGATGTGACTTTGAGGCTACTAGCAACGAGTGCTCAAGCCCGATCTGACCTGCTAGAATGGGTTGCAAACAACAGGTATCCATTCACCAGACGGCATGGTCCAGATAACCAGACAGCGTTTCATATAATGCTTGACATCCCTAATATTGGCGTTATGGAGCATCACCTCATACAATTCATAATTGCCCAAGTACCCAATTTGCCCACGGACACCGTTGAAGCCCCAACATACGTGAGTTCAGAATTTCGAGAGGGATCCGACAGGCGTGGCTTAACCCCCCTCGCCTTGGCAAAAGAGAAACGACTGCTACCTATCGTGAAGCTTTTTCTTCGATGGCGTGCCGGAATTGATCGGTTGTGGGAATTGCTTGATTGTATTCTGCGCTGGTGGTCAAATGCTCTGACTTAAATGGCTGCGGACATCGCCGTAATGGTCATGGCCATTGACGGTGAGAATATCACATCTGGTCAGCTCATTCATGATGTGTCTTTGTTGCTCAGACCAAGCTAAGCGGTAATAATAGGCTTACGCGAGCGATTTGGTATTGTTGTTGTTCGGAGGAAGATTGATTGTTCCTATTTCCGTCGACAACCTAATGGCTTTATATACAAAACGGATATCAGGTTGATTGGAAACCAACCTGATTGTATCTGGAATGCATTCCTCATACAAAGCCCTATTATTTACTTGATCTAGCTTTGAATTACTGTACAACAGATCTTGCTCGGTTCAAGTTTGGGCTTTCGGTGCTCTCTGCAAGAAATCGCGGGGAAATTTCCAGCTGTCAGCTATCTAGGATAAGCTGAATTCAGCAGAGTGAGACTTACCATGCAGATGTAATTTTGCAG